CCCCAAAACCCCAAAACCCCAAAACCCCAAAACCCCATAATCAATATCAATTGATAATTTAGTATTTTGTAAGCTAAATTGGAAATAAATTTAACTAAGGGACTATATTATAATAAGTCCAAAGATATTACAGAATTTTATTGTTTTGAATAATTAATTTTAGTTCAGGGTTAAATCACGACTCATGAACTAATCAAAAATTCTTACTATTTATGTCTCAAGAAATCTGTAGGTTATGAATATAATCTATCGAAGCTTGAGAATAGTATTCTTGCTTTCAGATCATTCCAAATAACTCATGAATTGATTCATCGTCCATTTTGGAACCTCTTGGGCACTCGGTTACCACCTTCTCGAAGTCCTTGTCTGAGAACTTTCTCTCTGAGAGGCCATTCTCGATTTCAAAGATCAAGGGAAGTGGTCTGATCATAGCAAGCCATTTAAGATCCTTAGCAGTCTCGTCGAAGTAAAGGATGAAGACTCTCTTGAGATCGAAGTTATCAACCTCAATTCTGAAAGCGTGATAAGTCTCCTATGTCCATCTGCAGTGCTTGGTGCCCAAATAGGTAGTTATTCCACCATCTGGGTTCTTAAGGGCATCAATATGCTCTCTGAGAACGAAATCTTCTTTCAAGTCAATAACCTCGCAGTAATCTTTGCCCTCAACGCTCTTAACAAGTTTTCTAGCATTGAAATCAAAATATGAGCTGCAGGTCATTTCACCTTGGAGAGGAACATTAAGAGTAACCATTGAAAGAGCTCTGTTTCCATCAGAGTCAACCCACTTTTGGATGGTCATATCTCTGAGAGTCTCGAGCTTCTTCTCTTCCCAGTCATAGATGTAGACTGCACTCTTGATCTCAGAATTATAAGGTACCTTAACCTTTGGCCAACTGGCTTCATCGGTTGAGCCAGTAAGGTCGTCTTGTTCAAGGAATGAGGGGTTCTTGAGTACAATCTTCTCCTCTAGTTGAGGTAGCTACTCCATGAGCTAAGTCAAGAAGGATGTAAGAAGGACCGAAGTCTATACGATGTGATTCATTAGTCGAGATCAATCAAAGATTTATTTAATTATAATAGTAATTAAATGTTGGTTTAAATAGTGTAACTTGATGCTATTTTTAATTTGGTTAATGATTACCCAGTTAAAATAATCTTTATTCATACCTTCTTATTCTATTTCTGTTTGGCATTTTGGGGTTTTGGGGTTTTGGGGTTTTGGGG